CTCTACGATTGCAGCATTTCGAACGGGAGCGCCCGTTGAAAACGGGCTATTACGGAACGACTCCAGTCTCCTCTCATGGCCTCAATACTAAGTTGTGCAAATCATCCACAAGAGCAGGTCTTTCGAATTTATAGCGGTCTGGAGGAGTCTATCTTCTTTCGCGGTCTTACTCAATTTTAACAGTCTGACTTCACTTTTGACTTCAACGCGTGAAGAGGGGTCCACGCATTCGGCCCACGGAGAAAGGCAGTCAACTACCGATGAAGAAGCTGTTAACTCTGGTTGCGTAAGCTGGTTTTCAAAGGGTTAGGACAGCGCTCCAAGCGTTTTAAGAAACGGTTGGCTGTCCACCCATCTCACGTATGCACTCGCTAACACCAATTCTCCTGCCCGTATCAGACGGAATAACTTCCGCTGGTTACCAAGTGAGGCTGCCATTTCTATCTCCGAAATACGGTGTGACAACCAGTTTTAGCGCTAACACTCAGTTTCGCACTGAGGTCTTTGCGATCCTCGTGTTCGCTTTTGCCACATGAACACTTGCCTGCTGCTAATAAAGTCTGGTGGATATGCGACTAGTGGCCCTCTACTGCGTTCGGAGAGCGCTTACTCAGGTCCAATGGCGATGTAATTTGAGACTCATTCAGAACAGCTGGGAAGTATCTATGTGCTTTTAGCGTCGGTGCTTGCGCCCACCGATCGGTACAATTGTACGCATGGGCAGAGTTCGCGCTCGTGCTCCGAATTGAGCGAGAGTTTTGGCCACAGCATCTCCAACGATAACTGAGAGCGATGTCATCGGTTTGCGTGCATGGCTGCTCCGAGCTCGGTGCACGCTATGTCCTCCGGTGGGTACTGTGATGGCGAGAAATAGACGAGCATCTTCACACAGGTATAGGAACCGCTTGCTGATAACATTATGGGAGCCTGAACCGTCTACAGTTTCCAAACTTGGGCGTTCAGATTACCAGCAAGCAAGGCAAGTCATCTTTCGCCGAATCAGCGCTGCAATTTGGGGGCGTATCCAGCAATGAGTGGGTCGGTGGCCGAGTGCTCTGATTTGCAACCATAAGTTCACCGGTTCGAATCCATGTGAGGTTGGGCGTACAGCCGACACGTTATTTTTATTTTTATGCAGCAGTGACAAACAGGCACTGTTTGTTCGTGAGCAACTTCAAAGCTTTGAACGTACCGGCCAATATGATGGCGCACATCCAAGAGTTGATTGGAATCCAGTCATCCAGAGCAGCTTCAGTCCGGGGACTCAGTGCAGGGCCCATACCAACTGGATCAGTATTTAAAGCAACGTCATCTCCGGACAAGCGCCACAAGAAAATACCGCCAGTGTCGCTTATCGGAAACAGCGGTGTAATCACCGAACTCCAATCCTGCAGAGGGGTTTTTGATAAGCAGCAGATGTCTACCGATAGTATCTCCAGTGTTCGAACAGATGTTGCCTGCTGCCCAACCTGTAATAAATTGCGCACGTTATAGCATGCCAATCTTAGGGAGGGCCGAGGGCTCCAAAGAAAAACGGGTGAACTGTTGTTGTCCACCTGATTGAATATGAACTTGTCGACTTTGTTGGAGCGACGCCGTGCAGTTGCATTTGAGTTGAAACCAGAAGACAAGTGCCGATGGAAACAAGATGGGGAGGGCCGGGGATTGGGAGTTTGGACACATAGGGGATATAAGTGAACTCGGAACGGCACGATAATGATGGAAAGGTGTGAATTGCAAGGATGGGAAGACTTGAGAAGTAGCATCCAAACCTCTATCAACCCTGCTCGATTCCGAAAATATGACGCGGTTGCTTGTCTTCTGCGACAACCAGAGCTTCGAAAAAATTTTGGAAGAGCAATTCATTGTATTGCGTGCCGAGATAGGGGAACGATTAAGGTTCTCAACCAAACTCTTTGATTCAAAACCTAATCGCAAAGCAGCGGGATTTCGGCAATGAGCTACGGAGTCCGTTTTATAGAGTAAGTAGCCATTACCACTCCAACTCTCAATCTGCAGTGCCAGGTGATTGACTTGGTCTGACCTCTAACCACTGACCAATCTGGTATAAGTGGCTCTGAAGGCGCAAAAAGCACCACGCAGCATAGGCTAGTGGATCGCTGAGGCAGACAAAACCATCGCATCACGCTACGGTCCAGCCTTTTCGATGGTTTCGGGATTATATCTCTTCCATAGTGGAGTGTGAAAGCCTCTGGTAGTGCTGCTGTACTTCGGCTGATGAATGTGGACGTGGCGAATTAGTTCCGCGACTTTAGTATTGGGCCGCGAACCGTTCCGCTTAGTACAGCTTCTGCGGTTACTGGTAGTTCACGTAATGCTTATCGGACTAGAAATCTGACTTCAGCTTCAAACGTCGACAGGTTATGGATCGTGTCTTCATCTTGCTGTTGAGAGTCTGATGCTTGACAATGCGTCCGCTTGGCCAATGGAAACCGTTGTTTGGTAGCGAATCTCAAAATCGTAGTTTAGCAGGATGGAATCCCAGCTTTCGAGACTATTGGATGTATGGGCAATGATGCCCTTCATGGAACTGCAAACGGCCAGCAACGGTTTTGTGATTCGTCAATAGTTCGAACCGGCGACCTCGCGTTTCGTGTAATTTCTTCACTGCACTGATTGCAGTCAAGGCATCTTTCTCGCTTCGGCTTCGGCGGTTTTGTCAACATCATGGTTGCTTGAGCGATCGATTTCTGAGACCCATTTGGGCGCATATGTGATAACCGTACTGATCCCATGACTCGGTGCATCTGTTGCGGGAATGATTTCCTGAATTGGGTCGTAATGAGTCAGCACCGTGTCGGACATCAATAATAAATTGACTATTGCATCTTTGCGTCCAGTTCAATGCCTGGTCAGCTTGGCAAGCAGGCAAAAATGCGCTGTAATGACTGATGAGACCACAAAAGGAACGCAATTACTAGGTCTGTTTGCGGAGGTTTTTTCTTTCTCCTCAAGGGGAAATCCGGGGTATTTGACGGTCGGCGTGAAAAAAAATAATATTTACGGATTCGGAAGCCATACAACTGAATG